AAAGAAAAACACAAAAATACCTTCCATCAAAGTGCAATATCTCAGAAATAGGTATAAAAAAGTGTCTAAAAACACTATATATTATAGGTGTATCAGTAAACATATAATTTTTCATCTTTGACCCTCTATATACTACTAGGAGAGGCCCATAGCATGTATTAGAGGGCTTTTGACTCTTCTCTTAGACTCATATTATGTAGGGATGTATCTCTCTCATTATTATTTGTAACTATTATTTTCCAAATATAAAATGGGTCACAAAGCCTAGAAATGCTCCAGTTCACTCTACCGGGCAAGTTTGTGTGCTCTCTCTCTCTCTCTCTCTCTCTTTCTCTCTCTCTCTGTGTCTTTCTCTTTCCACTTCTCCCTCAAAGTTCCTACCGCTTTGATGCTTGGGCATCCCTCACATGATAAATTTGGATTCAACATCCTAAAATATGCGATGAATATGAAAGATGCTAACAATAAGAAGGGAAGTGACGCCAGTGAGGAGAAATGCACCTCATAGACATTCTTAATAGGGGACATGCTATGGTGTTCATGCGACAACAAATCTAAAGACAAAAATGACATTTTCATCATTTTCCTAGAGGCCTTTTTTAGGAGGAGAGTACAACAAAAAGAAAAGTCGGCTCTCAACTGTTGAAACAATAGATGGACTGTACCTTCGTTTCACTCAGACAATTCTGGGCAGTTGACACCTTACCCAACGAATAAAGGGAATATTTCTTCAAAGTCTATTTGGCGTTATGACACATATTTCTCTATTTTTTTCCTAGGTCCATATGAAACTTGGGAACTTGAATCCAAGAAGCAATACCGATAGATACCTGAAAAAGGTATGGTCGATTGGTCTTCAAGCTTGAATAAAATAAAGCTATAAGGAAGTTCCCTGCCCAATAGTGACAAACTTTGTAACACAAATCAACCTAGCAACAAATTTTGATGGTTACCCCAGTGAAGGCAACAATAAGATTCACCTAAGTCCTAACAAAAGGAGAGGCCCGTCCGAAGCCACAATCCGACCAAACAATTAAGGCTTTTAAAAGTATAAAATACAATACAAATGACAATAACATAAAATTAAAAGCAATTAACAGGGACATTATATACACCTGATAGACATCCTAATAATAAATCTGACCCACAATGCCAAGCTTCAAAATGCCTGCCTCAAAGTTCAACACGGAAATAACTC